CAGTAACAACTTGGAGCGTAATCCTGGTTGGAACTGGTTACTTTAAAAAAAAAGTTGAATTTTAAAAATGCAATATTTTTATTTATTATAATTTACGTTTGTTTCAAGTATACAGTTGTTCACTGTATCACCAATCCATCCCTTCGTACAACTATAAGCAATCAATATTCCAATTTCATAAATTTAATTTCACATTCGAACAAAAGCAATAAGCATACCCGTCTGTTTCACCCTTCCAACTGCATGCGAGTTGCGTGCACTCTCTTAATCGCGACTGACGATTACCGGCGCATGAGAATTCGATAGGAACTCGGGCCGCTCGAAGCTGCTCTGAATTTATTCCCGATTGAATAGACATTCCAGCGGGTGTATCGATTCCAGGCACGCGTCCCCGCCTCTTCCGTCTACGAATCTGCTTTTCGAAGAGCCCGCAATGCGTGCCACGGGTTTCCCGTGACGACAATAAAAAAGTCGACTCCCTCAACGGCGGGGATCGCAGTCGTGAAACGTCGAAGCGACTTACCGGAGCGAGATATCGCTTTCTTCGAGGCGAATATTCCGCGTAGGTTCGTGGCATCTGTAGCTACGTCCTGGAACGAACCGAGGATTAACGAGAAACGGATATCCGGATGGCGTAAGGGAATGCTCCGTGGTATTTTTCCCCTAGTTTCCGTCGCCTGTTCCACTCGAGTGTCCGATCGTTTTGTGATCCGATAATTAATTACCCCTCGCTTGTTTCCAACATGAGAATCCCTCGAAAACTTTGGTCACTTTGGGACTGAATTCTGACGAGGTTGTCGTTCCAGTCTTCTTTGGGGGAAGTTTCTGAGAAGTTGGAACGGAGAAGCTTTTGACGCCCTGTTCAGTGAAGATGTTGCGGAAGGAGTTAGGGCTGGATTTGGTAGGGTCCATTGTGAAAGCAGCTTTCTTGAGGGTTTTTTAAGGTTATCGTCGTTTTGTAGGGATTCGTTTTGTTTGGAATTTTATTTTTTAGGAAGTAACAAAGTCTTATACAAAGTCTAATATTATAGAGGTATATGATACGAGAGTGTAAAAATAAAACATCTTGAATAACTCAAAAAATTTAGTAATCATGATGGAATCGAGAGAGGATACAGAATTTCTCGAAAATGTCTTTATAATTGCAAATTTCCTATAAGATCTTGAGTCAAGGAGGAAGACTGAAGAAGCTCCGAAACACTTTGTAAGACTGCAGTGTTTGGGAATCCTGAAAATTGTGTAAATTCTCGGAAGTCCTGAAAGGCTTCGAGGTCTCGAATGTCACGAACGCCTTGTTTGTCTTGAATATCTTTAAAATCTTGTATGCCTTGTAAGCCTTCGACCTCTTGAAATAGTTAAACATCTGAATATTTAAAGCTTGTTTGCTTTAAAAATTCGATAATTGACACTCCCACGTATAGAAACCTCGCAGAATTTTAAAGCCATAGAGGCCATCGAAAATTCTCTCGAGTTTCATAAGTTTTCGGAAAGCAGTTTCGGCAGACTCGTATCCCGGGTTGGGCGGGATTCGAATCGCCTCGCTTCCATCACTACCGCGTCGTGTGAGTTTTACGATACGGAGTTGTCTTCGTTTTTCCCCTCTTTCCCATTCGTAATCGATCCCCGGCAAGAAACGCAGTCAGAAGGATTCGATTCCAATATCTATCGCCTTAGTTTTTCTCTCGCAAGTATCCTCTATGCATACGACCCCTCTTGGTTTTTGTTCTGCCGTAGTCGTTTTAGAAGCACGGAGAATTTATTGGCCCATTCGATTGGACCCTACTACACGTTCCTGTTAACAATTCTTCAATGACAATTATGGAAATTTCTTCAAATAGTATATGTAATATTTTTTAACAAGAGAAACGTAATTTTATAACAAAAATTACATATTTGGGTGAAATAATACAATGAAAATTGAATCAATCAATAAAATTACCATTAAACAAATTTTACTGGCTGGAAGACGGATTATTTCTCTCAGATCGCCAACATCAGTGGCAAGCTTTATAACTCAGCGCACTGCACACGTACGCATCGGTCGTGGTCAGGGCGCAATATTCAGCGACTTACGGCAATATCGCGACGCATTTAGGAGAAGCCGCAGGATCACGTGTAACCGTGGCGACTGATCGCTACGAACACGTGCAGGTTACGTACGCGTCTGCGTGATTTGTGTGCGCACGAAAATCTCATAACGGCGTCCAGGCCAAACAACGGGTGAAACCCCGTGAAAACTGGAGACAGTGGCTTTCCACCCACGCTTGAAATACCATCCGGTTACGTCCTCTTTCTCCATATCCGGTTCTACCTTTTGTTCTCGGCGAATTCGTTATCGTCGCGATATTTTTAATTACAACTTCATCGATCAGGAATCTAATCCTCTCGGTATCCCGCCCCCCCTCTCTCTCTCCTCTCTCTCCTATTACTGTGTGGCGGTAGCAAGTGGGAACGGGGGACGATCACGCCAAAGCGTTGTTGAATTAAAGTTCAAACAGAATCTTGCGAAGGGTCTTCGATCCCTTCGAAGAAGAATGAAGGGAAAGAAAAGAGAGGGAAAGAAAACGATAGGAAGGTAGCAGCATCTTATTCCGTGGAGTTTCACAAAGTGCGGCTGACCCTTAACGACTCGCTCGTTAAAAGCGAGCGGATTTACCGTGGTTGCCGACGAAATTGCCTGGAGATGAAGCGAGAAACAAGACCAGAACGAAAAGAATTCAAAAGGGCGAAGAAAAGAGGGCGGGCTGCGAGTAGGACGACCACTTTGGAGGAGGTCAAGGTGAATAATCTAATTGTCGACGCGGATCCTTTCGACCTCTTTTAAACAAGATTAATCGAGCCCAGATTCTGGCCAGAACCGATCCGATTTCCTGTCGTGGTTACTCACGCGATTAAGCACTCCTCTACGTCGAATACCAAATAAGTCGATGTATCGAATGTTGAAATTTCATGAAATTTTAAAAGACTGTGATGGAAAACCATTAGTCGATATTCAAGAGCTATATGGGGATGTTAATTCGTTCATTTATTTGCTCCGTTTCAGCGAAAGTCTGGTAATTATTGAGATAACCACATTACTGACAATTAGTCTACTTCACTGTGTGCTTTTTACACCGGTACGTTATTTTTTTCAACAGTTTTTTAAAAGCTTACAAATTCAAATAGTTTTCAAAGAATAAAATAATACTGGGAAAAATGAATACTGTGTATTTAATTTAATATTGTATTAAAAACATCAAATTAAAATTTAAAATCTGCAAACGAAGAGAAAACTGCTTGAAAGGATTATTCTACGAGTATAAAAAAAGCAGACTAATTTTCAGCTAGAGTACACAGCAGATAAACGTGGAAATCCTTCAGAGAGAGCAGTAATCGAAATAGTCTCGTTTCCCTTTGAAACATTGAATGTTATGAAAATTTGAAATATTGATAAGGAAAGGAAACGAGATGGATACGTATCAGAAAATCCTACTAGCCTCTCTCTTTATTCATATTTCACGGTGGATGAAAGGTGGAACAGTATTTGCTGGTTCCTCCTGTGTACATACGTTGCTTAAAGTTCCCTCTGTCCAAGTTTCCATCGATTCCATCGAACGAGCTGGTACAAGTGTGTGCGCGGCAGCGCAATGTACTTCGCGCAGAGCTTGCAATCCGTTTCCATTTACAGGAAAATGGAAATTCGGCTCGCAGGAACTTATTAAATGCGTTCGTTTCGTGGCGATTTATTTTTGATCTCGTGCAAATCGTTTTTGCAGATATATCGCTTATTTTTACAATTAGGTCACAACTGAAAGCAGCTTTATATTTGAAAACATTCTTGGTATTATTACCTTTTTTCTATCAATTTTGAGCTTCCACGTAATGTTATTTTTGATCGAAAATTATATTTCAAAAACGTTCATTATTAATTCTGTATTTTTCCAATTTTTTCTATTTCTTCTTCTACTCGTTAATTATCTTGAATAAAATTGCAAGTACCTAAAGAGAGTTCTCTGGAACATATTTAATTAATATTTTCCTACAACTTCGATAAACTTGAGCCAATAAATGGCTGCTTCTTTCATGATATTCTATCGGGTCATTAAACGGTGCTTTATCTATCTCCAAGGATCTCTTACGCTTTTTATCAGATTAAGGTAATTTATGTTTGGAGAAGTAGTACCTCAAGTGGAACTGACAATATTAGAATTAATGGAGGGTTTCCCTTTTTCTACATTTCCTGCAGCTGTCAGGAATTTGAGTTAGTAGTACGTGACGATAAATCATTGTGAAACTTTTCTTCCTTGGACACTTTCGATTTGAACATATGCTTTCAGAACCGTAAAAACCTAATCGACGATTATTCAAGGAAAAAATTCTATGTATATTTAATTCAGCTTCGTTCATTTTGTGAAGTAATTTCATTCTTTGCGCCGTGAGAATACCTTTTAGGACTCTAATATGGCGACAAGTGTGTTCCATGCAAATCATACTTGCATAATATTACTACTTCGCATTGGTGGCGCGCAGAGATATTCAGAATTCATTATGTGGCACAAAATAGATTCGAGAACGTTTCAAATTGAAAATTATAAGATCTTGAATGACGACAGATTTAAATTATCAAGGGTTCAAATTTTCCATATTTATCGAGTGTTGATTAAAAAAATAAGTTTCACCTTGATTTGCAGTAAGATTCAGTTTTAATTCATTCTTGTCACGAAACTGATTCACCCCACTTTCAAGATCAACTCAATACAATTTTTTTCTGCAAACAACTTGCAAGGCATTTACTTTGGTATTTCAAGTTTAGATTAAGACGTATACGTCATCTTGTGAAAAAAAACTAAAATTATTTTGTAAAATGTCGATATATTAGCATCGAACCTGAAAGTCACACGGGACTATTAGAGGGTTAATCCACAGGAATCGTTAGTCAGCGTTTCAATAAGGTTGAGCCACGGTTTAGCGATCGTGGTCATAACCCGATCTAATCGATCGTTCAATTCGTAACGTTTCAGCCGTTCATGGTGCCCATGAGAGTACTGATGTTATTAGGAGGTGGACTGCTGGCGGTGTTTGGAAGCGAGGCGATCGAGCTCGGGGGCGCCGGACCCTTGGCAGTGGTTGCGGCCGCCTTTATCAGCTGCTACTTCTGGCAGAAACAGGGCTGGGAAGTCGACGACGTAAGTACATTTCCACCTGTACGATAATAAATTCAACGGAGTGTCTCTTTAATCCTTGAGCGACGACGTGTGCGCGCGGAAAGTGCAAAATTATTTAAATTGACATAGGAACGTTGATTAAGGGAACCTCGGTGTTTCCACGTCGAGTGCTTCATTTGGGATGGCTGGCTGTAACGTAAAATAATCCTAAGGGGTTGGAATTTCCTAAATGAAATTATAAGGAGAATCTTGGTAAAATAAGTACAGAATGAAGCAATATGTTACAAGTGTTATTAATCCTGAAATTAAATTATTTAAGTTAAAAAGTTGATGAAATGGCTTTAAACGAAACCAGCGATGTTCGTGATATGCTTTGTACGTTTTACTTGTACTTTGCAAACATTCGCAGTGTACAATTATAATTACATGTGAATTAGTAATTAACGTCGTGTCGTTGAATTTAATGTCACTAGATTATTGAACGAAGGATCGCGGTAATCTGATTAGTATGCTAGTAAATTATTTAGAACTTATCTACCGCAGCACTCACCTAAAATTTGATTTACATTTTGAGAGAGAAATCAATCAAATCTAATCTAAATGTCCCCTCTAAGGGAATAACGAGCAACAATTGGAGAATTCCGCATGTCTGCCATTATGATCAGAATTCAAGACTCGACTAGAATTTCAAGCTTCGCTCACTAACTTTACTTATACCGCAACAAGCTTCAATCTTATTGTTAGTCCTTCTCTACCGCGACAACCTTTAGTCTCGAAACGACAATACCCACTTCGTAACCACCTGCAGAGGCAAAACGTCTAACGTGGCCTCAGTGTTGCGTTAAATTACGTCTAAGTCAGCATTTTGCAACCGTCTTGTTTCAAGACTTGGATACGAGGAAGGCAAACTGGGTAACTGGAGAGATATATCATTGTCTCCTATTGTCTTTCTTACGAGTTCCATGTCACCCTTGTTGCTTAGAATCGTTCTATTCTCAACGTTTTATGTGTCAATCGAATAATGTTGCAGGTAGGCTTAACATTGTGTTTAGAATGTTCAGAAATGAATTATGAACACATGGTAAACGGTTCAATTGTAAACTAGAAATGATATTGCGGTGTATTAAAGTAACGACTGCATCGACAATATTAATTTTTAATTCGTAATTGAGAGTAAACCGCGTCCCATTGTTATTTTGCGCTCCGTTGTTTCTGTTGCTGACAAATCAGATTCACCGGATGCTTGTTAATGACGTAAAACGTAATAATGTTACGAACGCGCCAGGAATCGCGGAAGTGGGCAAAGGGGATAGTAATCTGCCATTTCTAGCGAATGAACGTTCCCGTGTATGTTTATTCCCGTTGCTAATTAACAGCATTTTATACGCTCGAAATGTCATCCCCCGTGTGGTGTTATAATTCTCCCCCTGGATATCAATGATTATTCGAATGCGCAGCACGACTACTCGCTGATTAGATTACTGTACCTGTGAAAGTGAAATCTCTTGTTTCGTGCTAAATACACGATAAATGATGATATATTAGTCTGGCCAGACTAATTAAATTTGCAGAGTTTGTTTAGCAAAACATAGCAAATAAACGTGGAGGATTGAATGGACGTTGAATGTTTGCTTGCTTAGAAATATTTGTCTATTTCTCATTATTGTTATCGATTAGACTCTTTGTGGATAAATTTACTATCAGTGAGGTTATTGCGCTCTTCGCTATATCTGTACTTCAATTTAAAAACAGAAACGAGTCACATAGATTTAGACAATTTAGAAAGGCTAATTATGAAGACGTTGAATTTCCGTCAACGGTACCCTCCTTTCGTTTATTTACTGCTACTACGAAAAGCGTTCCGGATGACAGGCTGTCGCCATTTTCCCGCAGCGTTTTAGTTCCAATAAACCGGCTGCACTGAGTGAAAAGCACCCTGTCTCTTATCGTTGACCCCCATAACTCGAACGAAAGGTACGTCGCCGGTTACTGGTAGTCTCATAACACCGGACGTGTTAATATTTACCGCTGTTTACTCATAAATCCTTCGACTTCGAGACTTAGCACGTATCCCATGTCGCGATGACGATCGATATCGAAATTCGATTCTAGTTTTATGTATCGTTTATGGATTCGTAGCATCCAGATCAATCTCCGGGCTCCAAAATTGATTTTTCATGTTGCATCGTCTTTTTCGAGACACCTCATATTCCGTGCAAAACAACAAAAGGGATATATTGTTCCCGAATATTAAGATAGAACAAATCGTAATTCGTATCTTCGTACACACTATTTTATATTTGTCGTGAATGCATAAATATCCACGAACATGTAATGAGAGATTTAAATGAAAAAGAATACACCCCATTTGCTTTATTCAGTTATTGCAGTGAAAAATAATCTACTCTACGCCAACTATTACTCTCTTATCGACTGTAACAGGATTTAGTGATCGTTTCGAATACTCGTATTTGTTTATGAAATACTCGCGAAAGGCAGTCGTTACTTCCCATGTCGCATTTATCGTGGCGAGCCTGTCCCCTCTTGCCCCTCCTTCAGTTTTATTGTTCTAGCGCTAGTTTACGACGTACTAGTGTAAATTGAAACCCATCAAAATTTCCAGGCAAAATGATTCTGCTGCTGGTTATCGATAAAAGGAGCATGACACCCGAAGTAGGAATAGGTTCGTTGAATCCTCATCAAATCTTAAACGACAATTTTTAAATTATGACCGAGGAGGCACATTAACATCCCTCAAAGAAATATTAATTTACCCAGTAATAGAGTATAAACGATACTTCGCACTGAACCAATGAAAACTTATCCAAACTACTGCCCAATGGAGAAAACATTGCAAATTAATTCTTATGTATTCGTCATCGACGATTCAAATAGGATTCAGCCAATGTCTAGCGTGGTTGGAGCACAATCGAACCCGAACAGTCGCACTATGTCGCTATTGATGGAGAATCGCTTCGAATGTAACACCACGCAACCTTAACGCGTCTCCAATCCTCCGTCTCGGTATTGGAATATGGAAATATACCGATGGCTCGCGTGCACGTTCGAAATAGCTGAAATTCGCACGTCGCTCACCGCCCTCCGATATTTACTGTCGCTGTTTACCTGCAATCCAGATTACGTAACGTATCTTCCTCCGTGTTGATTTATTTAATTTAATTCCGCACGATCCCCGTATCATGAGCTACGTGATCCTTTATATGTACCACTGCGACGGCAATCCTGCCGATATTGTTCGCCGGGACGCCGAATCGTTAAAGGCGTTCACGTGATCCACGGTATCAATAAGCAATTTGCGTGCGCGGATAATTGGCTGGTGTTTTCTCATGATTCGGATGAGCTGCTCGGAAAACAGCCGACGAAAATTTGTGGTTATATTCGGTGCGTGCCGAAACAATATTTATGGAATAACGGACTTCTACGAGCGCAGTAGATATCTCCTCGGGTTTGCGTGATTTATAATGTCGGGTGTTTCGAATGCGATGAACTGTGGACTCCTGAATTTTATGGTGCTTATATGCGACTTACAATGATAAATTAATCACTTACAAATAATCGAACACAAAGCCACAGAAACAATTTCTATCTCTAGTAAACACTCAAATGCTCCAAGCATATGAATACCATTTGCATACACACTATCCTTACAGATAAAAAGCATTTCAACCGTGAAAAGCCGTGTTCGGTAAGTTAATCAATTCGATCTAACACAGATTCGATCACGCCGCGGAATCAAGCACACAAGCTGTGCCTCCCGTTTGACGTGGAGCGACGCCGTAGCGCTAAAAGCTCGGGATGCTATCGAAATTAGGATAGCACGGAACGTGAATGTTTAATAAGCGTATAGAATAAGCAAATCCCCTGCCTACTAGGATTCCATTTTCCGGTCGATATCGTGGCCAAAGTTTAACGCGTTTCCGTGGGTAGCTGCCGAAATTGCTGCTGATAGAAACTTGATTGAAAAACTTGAGTCCCTCGGGAGTGGCTGAAATTTTCGATTGTTTTTGTTGTACTTTTTTCTTCGGGGAACGCTCGTCCATTTCGGTGGTTTCGTGGTTTAATTGCGGGCTACCAGCGCCGGTACACCATCGGAGAACCGTGACTTTTCGGATTTAATTAGAGTCTACCGTACAGATCAAAGAACGACCCTCGTGTCTCCACTGCTTTTTCTCTATCCTTTTCTCTCTCGCTCCTGTTACGTTGCAGGGGGTGTAAACTCTGATGAAAGGACAAATGGCCTTGGACGTTTTTGAGTTGGACCGAAATGCAAGAACCAGGGCTGCTTGAACGGTGAAATGCGAGAATAGGGATGATCGTGTTACGTTTTAAAAGAGAGTGCACGAAGAGAGTTGGTCTAATCCAGAGCGTAACGTCCATCACCTTGCAGCTGGGAATTCCGTGCTCTTAAAAGAGTAATTGTTATACATCCTCGTGAAACTAGTTTGAAAATTGAAAAACTGGATTAGCAACATTTCCTTTAAAATTCACACTGAAAATGATTGGAATAAGGAATTAGAAACACATCGACCCGCTCCATACTATTTCCAAAGAAACAGTAGTATGCACAAGAAGCACTCGTTTTGATCTTAACAAACAAGAATGTTCCGAATGACAAATCCGATAAATAACAAGTTAATCTCGATCTCGCCAATTTTTCATCAGCTTATCACGCTTCCCCTATCTTCTTTTTTATTTTTACCTAACCGTGGCACGATTCTCAACCCCTCGTTGTAATAACTTCAAAAAGGAAGCTTCCTCGCAGGAAACGTAAACAAAACGATGCAAATATCCGCGCAATATATTTGTCTCCCCGCGGTTCTGCCTCTCTGGGTGGCCCCTCTTCAAACAAGCCCACAGCGTTAAACGCTCGACTCGTCGCGGGCAAACTCCGAAGAAATCCGTAGGAAAAACAGTCCGCGTCGCGTCTTCCTCGATGTACGCAGAAATCCGATCAGATCCGACCGGATAAATTGTCTATTTGCGTGGAAAAAATAGCTGAC